CCATGATGCCTTCAGTGTTTGGACCCTTCTTGAACATACTACACTCACACTGGGCTCAATTCTCTGGATTTTGTCAACACCAGTTTTCTGGTAGGCAGCTGATGAGATGAATTTTACCTGAACCCACCATTCAAATAATTTGCATTATGGGAAGAGAACAGTCTCAGTGAAAATCTTTAGTTTTTCCAGTGATTTATAGGTGCCAGGAATCCCTATCTCTGGTCCTAGCCCTAACTCAGAAATTTCAAGCCACCAGATCAATTCCACTTTAACAAGTAATGTGACTTCTAAATAACCATCGTTTTCAATGAGATTTGACAATACTAGTAAGAACAAAGCTCAAAAGTCAGGGATTAATGTTGACTGGAGTGACATATCAGGTTCTAGTATTTGTTGAGCAGGGAATGGGAAGGAACAATCAGTAAAGAAATATTCTCACTGGAACTTAGTTCTTTCTTCTTTTATACCCTTCACCTTTTCTAGACACAATCCCTATATGGTATTAAAAAATTATCTGCATTGCATGAGATGACTTGTATCTGTCAAGCCGGGGAATTGAGCTTTCAGAATTTCTAAAGAGGGGAACACACATTGCACTTTTATAATGCCAACAACTAACATTTTATATCATGCTTTAGCATTTACAAGCCATATTTACATATATCATTTCATTTAATCACCACAGCTCAGTGAGGTAAACTATTTTTTTAGTGCAATTTTATGTGTGAGAAAATTAGCTTAGAGAGGTTGTGACTTGCACATGATCACAAAGCTAATTAAGTGGAAAGGGTCATATTAACTACAAACCAGATCTTCCAACCAAGCATTTTCCCTACCACAGGGCTTCCCCAGGATGGGAGGAATTGTAATTTGGCCCCAGAACACAACTAAAGTCAATTGCATTAAGCAACCTTTGAGTAACAAAGGAGAAATTATTCCCATGGGTCATAAATACTGCTTTACTGACCTCCTAAATGTCATCATAAAAACTTAGAGAAATAGTTAATGAACACTAATTTCAAAACGTATTAATATAATCATTGCCCTTATGCTGACAATTCCACATCTGTGAATTCTCCTAAGGGAATTTTCATGGAATAGGAGCAATATTTAGCTATGACATTCTTTGAAGCATCCTATATAATAAAAAACCTAATATGCTAAGTGTCCAGGGGATGTCAGAGAGCCGGTTTTGGCCCGATCCCACAGGCCCAGCAGAGGGACCTCACTGGTGCATGAATTCGTGCACCGGGCCTCTAGTTGTTTATAATAGAAAACAAGTTAAAAGCTCAACATTAGAAGAGTGGTAAAATTGATTATGTTTATCGAATGAAAATAATGTTGTAGATGAGATTTTCTATTAATCATTTATATGCCATCTTTGGAGTATTGCCATCTACACCAATATCTACTTAACATTTTCCTTTAAATAAACTTGCACATTTTATTAAATTATTTTTTGAATATATTTTTATTTATTTCAGAGAGGAAAGGAGAGGGAGAGACAGAGAGAGAATCATCAATGATGAGAGAGAATTATTGATTGGCTGCCTCCTGCACACTCCCTATTGGAGCTCGAGCTCAAAACCTGGGCACTGAATGGAACTGTGACCTCCTAGTTCAAAGGTCGACACTTAACCACTGAGCCACACTGGATGGGCAATTTGCACATTTTATTGAAATAAGAGTATTGAACCCTGGCTGGTGTGACTCAGTTGTTTTGGAGCATCATCTGGTGCACCACAAGGTCAGGGGTCTAATTTCCCATCAGGGCACATACCCAGGTTTCTGGTTGGAACCCTGGTCAGGAAGCATATGGGAGGCAACCGATCAATGTGTCTCTTTCCTCCCTCTCTAAAATCAACAACAACAACAATAAAAGAGTATTAAAAGGTACTTTTTATCACTATACTAGAGGCCTGGTGCACAAAATTCATGCATGGGTAGGATCCCTAGGCCTTGCTAGTGATCAGTGCCAATCGGGGCCTTCCTTCCAGCTGCTGGCTGCTGGCCAGGGCCTTCCTTCATTCCGTGCCGCCCCCTGGTGGTCAGCGCACTCATAGCGAGCTATCGAACTACTGGTCTCCCAGTCGAACTCCCGAAAGGACAATTTGCATATTAGGCTTTTATATGTATAGATAAGTGGAAATAAAGTATAATTACCTTAAGTATAAGATAACCATAAAAATAAATATAAAGAAAACAAAGTAATGCTATTAATGCTTTGATTTGGTCCTGATACCTAGCAAAAAACAGGACTGATTTAATCAATTTGCAGTTAATGCCCTTTATTTCTCTCACAAACTTTACCTTTCTGCATTAAAAATCTCCTTTTTTCATTACTGATATACTACGGTCTCAATAAGGAACAGAAATGTGTGTCTGATTCCAAATCTCAGTTATGTATATTTATACATATCAGTATACTAAATAATTGTCAACTTCCAAAAGTGACCCTTTGATGTACCTTAGAAAAGAATATAGCTGCCCTGGCCCTGTAGCTCAGTTGGCTGGAGCATTGGCTCCATATGCCAAGGTTGTGGTTCAGTCTGGTCTGGGCACATACAAGAATCAACCAATGAATGCATCTCTCTCTCTCTCTCTCCCCCCCCCTTCCCCTCTCTCTCAAATCAATATATAAAAAATTAAATTTTTTTAAAAGAGCATAGCTGTTGTATAGACAGTTAGTATAGGAGAATCTATATTAACTCACCCTGATTTTCACTAATGGTTCTCAGGAACTGTGCACTGCCTAGCAAGCATTCAGAAACTTGTGGGTGTTTTTGGTTCTTGCAATAATGGAGGCGGGGGTGGAGGTACTAATGGCTTTGCTGGACAGGGGCCAGAGATATTAGACAGCCTTTGATGCCAGGCATGGTCCCAAGTGACCAGAAATTAACTGGTAATTCCAAGTGACTTTAAATGCCTTACAGAAAATCCAAGTAGGTGAAAAACCTACTGAGCCAGACCTAAATCCATTTAACACGTAAATGCAAAATTTTTACAGAGCTTTAATATAGGCAGGTTTTTCTAGAAATTCAACTGCTTTGAACATCAGAAAAAAACCATACTTTATTTTGTTCAGAACTTTACCAAAAATTGTCCATTGTTAATTTTGGAAAATCAACATCACCCATGGTCATGCTGCTGGCAGTATTTGAGTCACCATGAAAGTCACCTGAACTTACAGCCTCACATTCTCGGCAAATAGCCCGTTGTGTCCTCCATGGTAGTCAAGCCCAAGCATTTAACTCATTGAAACACATATTCTTTTATATAAATTATTTTCTTTTGTTTCTCCTTTTGTCCATTAGACTAGTTTTTACTAAATCATGTACAGGACATCTATGACAAGGGAAATTAAAACTTAGTCATTAAAAGGGATCACTGGGTCTCATAGGGTTGAGCACCACTTGGCAATTCCAAGAAGTTATCTGAGACATTCACAGGCATGCCTGAGGGTATCACTGTAATCTGCACATTCTTGAAAAAGTTGACTATCACGGTGCTATCTTCTTTAGCCTTGTTATAAGAAAGAGTATCTATAAAATTACAGGTTTGATGTACTAGTTATATTTTTTCAATTACTCAAAAAAGTAACTATTAAAAATGTTTAAAATGTGTTCATGTAACACTAAAAAAAATCAGCTCACGCATCAACTCTAGCACATATTAAATATCATGCTTTAGGAAATAATAAGAGTTTCCATTTTAATGATATAGAAGAATGACCATAAGACATTAGTGAAAAAAAGATAAATTGCAAAAAAGTAGGTACCATTTTTTGAAAAAATACACATATTGGAGAAATTTTGAAAGATCTACTCCAAAATATTAACAGTGGTCACATCAGAATGGGAGACAGTATCAGGAGTGTGATTCACTTATTTTGCCTATCTACCTTTTCTAAATGTGTTGCAATAGACATGTATTGTTCTTAAGTTAAGGGCTACTTGAAGTACATATATTTAGGAGATAAAACTGGAGGGAGATATAGGACCTTTATGTTCATATATACATCTCTGTAGTGTTTGACTTCTTTAACAAGCATTATTGTTTTTTGCTGTTAAAAATCTAATAAAGTAGTAAAAAAATATATGGAAAGGACTACACTTGTAAATATAATGAATGAGTATCAGTCCTTCTTTATTTGAAACAGAAATACAGGGTGAGTATGTGAAATACAGTAAGTATGTGAAACATAGAATTTATTTTTGTATTATTATTTATTGTATTATTTTCCATGCAAACAACCGTAAACCTACTTTTGCCTCACCCTGTATAATAATAATAGATTTGTATATTCTAACTAGATAAATAGCATAGTGTGAGGCCTGTATTCAGCATGCATCTTTCTTTTTATTTATTTGGTATCCAAAAATATTTATTACCATACCTATTCCTCCTACCACACAAAGTGGAAAGACCTATAGAGCAAGCAGAAATTCAGTAGAAGAAGCATAAAACAGCCCTAGCTGGTTTGTCTCAGTGGAAAGAGCATCGGCCTGTGGACTGAAGGGTCCTGGCCAGGTTCCATTCCGGTTGAGGGCACATGCCCAGGTTTCAGGCTTGATCCCCAGTGGGGGACGTGCAGGAGGCAGCCGATCAATGATTCTCTCTCATCATTGATGTTTCTATCTCTCTTTTCCTCTCTGAAATCAATAAAAATATTTTTTTAAAAAAAGAAGCATAAAACAAACTGACAATTTCCCTACTTTCATTAATATTTTTACTAGTACCCATGGATTAAAGAAATAATTCCCAAAACTTTTTTTAAAAGTCACCTTGCTTAGAACAGAGCATTCTCATGGCAAGATATTCAAGGATCAAGTTCCCTTTTCCCAAAGTGATTTATCTCCAGCTAGCATCTCATGAAAAAATTAGATTCTCTTGTGTTTTATCTTGGCTGACCATGGACTTAATCCTTTATATTCTGCTGATGTATGGGTTGCATCATTTCTCCTACAGCATCGGTTTCTGGAATGAAACGTGTGCCATACCTGTTGGATGAGGTGGGCAAAGCCTCACAGCTGGAGCCCACAGAGGTGTCTGGTCCCTCTGGCAGTGGGATGAGGGAATACCACCATACGCAGGCATTCTTCAGGCTACATGAAAGTTACAGATATAGGGAAGTCAGAGTTCAAAGGCTTCTGCTCAGTTGTGGAAGGGAATTTTGAGGAGAAGGAGGGGAAATAGAAGTTTTGTCAAACTTAAAGCCAAAAATCTCTCAAATTGTGGTTTACAGACCACCTACACCAGAACCACCCATTTTTCTTCAAACATAATTAATGTAGGTTCCCACACAAATCCCTGGATTTACTGCCACTGAATTTCATGCTTAAGCAAACCCTCCAGGGGATTTTGCTGCATTGGAAGGTTTGAGAACAATTGCTATAGGACAGAGGTTTCCAAACTTCAGAGCAGAACATCAGTGGCTGGAGTACTTGTTAAAACACAGATTGCTGGCCCACCCTCAAGCTTCTGGTTCTGGGGGTCTGGGAAGGCCCAAGATGTAATGTTAAAGATGGGGCTGCTAGTTGAGATCATTGAGAACACCTGCCCTCAGCCCAAGAAACTTGGGAGATTCTAAAAGCATTTCCAAATCCCCAGGAAATGCAGTTTGGGATCCTGAGTCTTCACCTATGAGAGAGTCAGAAATAACTTTCATACGAAAGAATTTTGTTCTTACTCTGTCTTTTTATTTTCTTTAGTTGGGATTTTATTTCACAAATAGTTTTATTTTCCCACTAAAATACTTGCAGTCTATCTATGTCCATCCATTCAGGACTCTCCAGGTTAAACAGAATCACTTTGCCTTTATTTTGTACCTTTTATATGTGAGAATGTTGATGAATGAACACAATTGATGTCTGACTTTTCAAATGACTGCATTAATTTGATTTCAATGACCCACTGACCATGAGTGTTAACATAACAACGGTTACCAGGAGCTAAAGCTATGGGATAGGTAAGGGATATGCACAGACTGTGGGCTAGAGATTTTAATTAAGCCTTAGTGACTGGAGCTGGACTCTTCTCCAAAGGATGTTATGAGATTTCGACATGATCCTAGAAAAGTAAATCTAAATCCAGGCCTTTTTCCAAGACAAACTACTTCTGCTTAATAGAAATGTAAGCATGCCTGGAGAATCAGAAGGATATTTGTTGCTAATGTTTGTTCCCATGACACACTTCATGTACTCATAAAATGATAGTATTTTCTCAAAACAAAGGTAGTGCTGTATACCCCAGCATGATTCATCTTTAAGTTGCACTAATGACATTAGTAAAAGTAAATATCGGCCAAGCTACAATAAAGCATTTCTAGCCCAATGAAAGTAGTTTGAGTTGAATGCTTTAAAATTATTGGCTTGGAAAGGTTAAAATAATAAGTGATTACAGATTCAAGAAATACAATGCTCAAGTCATTAACAAAGATGTTTTATGCTGTACTGTAATTAGTCTCAGGGACTTCTTGGTTTAGATCCTGTAAGGTGATCCCTATAGGACCACTTTTGCAATGTGGCTCATCTCTGAAGAATAGAAAGTTCTATATAGGAACAGTAACACAAACATTTTAGAAAATAAAAACATATATATGTTGTATTACATTTGTGTAATTCCATTTGGACGTGACTGCCTGGTCTTTCGAAAATGCTTTAAAGCAAACGTAAGACACATTGTGAAGATCTACATTCCCAAAGACTCATACTGCTCTAACTTTCCCACCAAGCTACCTTGTCAGAAAATTTTTCTACTTCTTACACCAATGACAGAGGCTGACACAATCATGTCTCAGGGATAAGGGAACATATTTATTGAGCTGTGTGGTTAGGTACTTGAATACATTGTATTTGTCCTCACCACTCTCTTGTGAGTTAGGTGTCTTATTAATGCCACTTTACCTATAAGGACATAGTTCAGAGAACTACAGTCCTCCTTGAGCTCTATACTAGTGAGTGATGGAGATAAGATTGAACCTGAGAAATGTTTGACTCCAGAGGTTGTGCTCTCTCTACGCCAGACTGCATCATCCTAGAATGAGCTAAATAACTTACACCTTCCCCTCCATCAGAGAAGGCAGTATGTTTGGGCTTAAAAACTAGGTGAGGATTTCTGGGAGGAGTTTAAATAAACAGGAGACAGTGAAAGGTCTGAACAAAGACCATTGGTGTTAACAAGAACATGAAAGCAAGATTTGCTTCAGATAATCCAAAGTAAGTGGTTACATACATGTACTTTATTTTTTGCAAAGAAACTTCCTAGTTTAATTAAAATTTTGGAACTGAACTATTCCTAGTTTAGTTGACATTTTATAAATTATATATTAAATGAACTAATAAGTTAACAGAACATGAAGCCAGTCCTTTTGTTGAAAGAAGGAATATTTACATCCTAGCTTACCCCCTTTGTGAAGTTGAAATTTTCACTTCATAATTCATTTACTTCCATGAATGTTTATTGTAAACCTACCATGTGCAAGGCACTATGCCAGGTGCTAGAGACATTGTCCTCTAGAGAGCTTAGAGCCTAATGTTGTATAAATAAAATACCAAAAAATCTCTACCAAAAGGCAGTGTATATGTGTCATAAAAGAATTATTATCAAAGTTCTATGAGATACTAAAGGAGAGAGAACTGGCATCCTGGTGTAGCAATCAAAGAAAGCTTCATGAAGTGGACAGCATTTGAAATGAGTGAAAGGATAGGTACTTTTTGACAAAGCTGATGATGAGAGTGAGAGGTGAGAAGGAATTTTTAGGTACTGCTGGATTAGAGTTTATTACCAATAATCCTAATCAAGTCACAATCTTAGTGCTACAAAATGCAGTCAAGCTAGGCATTTACTCCCAAGGCTTTGAGAAAACATATGATTAAACCACACACATTATAAGATAGCTAAAAATAAAGATTATATGGGAACTCCTGACTTTTTGCTGAATTTTTTATAAACCTAAAATTTATCTTAAAAAATAGTGTACAATTAAAAAAAATAAAGGTAGACTATATTAGACTTCAGTTAAACCTTTTTTAAAATTAAGGAAAAGTCATCCTTAACACCTTATTGCCTACCATTGTCACAGGTGGCTTTCATGATCTTATGGGTGATCCAGTCCAATAATTTCAGAGTTCTTCAACTTAATTTTGCTGACTTCAGATCCATCAGGTCTTGTTATATCATCCAGTTCTAAAATTTTTAATTCCAGTTGTTCTGACCATCTCTGTCCTTCCAAACCCACCATTTCCTATTACACTGCTCTTTGAACCTTACAAAGGACTGCATTCCATTGACCATACAAATTTCCCCTGTTTAGCTAAGATGCCATCATCCTATCAGCCACCCTCTCAGGCACACCTCAGATGCCTCGCTCCATTGTCCTGTTGAGTTCTCTCAGCAACAGCTGAGCCCTGGATAAATCGTTTCCCCTTTCTTTACCCCAAGTAGTTATCACAGCTGAAGAAACTCACAGCACCGTTCAGACTGCTTCTACTACAAATGGTCTCCAACCTCAACTATGCCCCCAACACAAGGCAGATGTCCCATTGTCCACTCTACATTCTATAAACTTTCTCCAGGCTCCTGAAGCCCTCTCTCTTTCCTATTTCCCTCTCACTCTTAGCAGGGAGCCTTATCTCCTCTGCAAAAAACTCTGAAGTTATTAAATACTACCTCTCCCAACAGCACTCTGAATGTATCCACATCCATGCCCTCTCTTAACGCCTTCCTTCAGCTAATACCTCCCTTTCTGCCCTGAGCCCCACTCAATACTGCTAGTTTAAGGAACTTGCTCTTTTAACCATCCACTTTAGCTAATTTCTACCACAGCCTTTCTCTTCTCAGCATTAAAACAGTCTCAAGTCCTTTCTATTTATAAAAATACAAAACCTCCTTTAACCCCAGACCCTTCTGCCAATACAGCTACTTTCAGTTCTCTTTCCTCCTTTTCCAAGCCAAGCTATTGGAAAAAATAATGCACTACATTTTCTTTCAAGCCACAGTGCCTACCTCCAAAGCAAGACAAGGAGGATTCAAAGTACCCAGACTTGATAGTACATTATAACCCCTTCATGGCATCACTCCCAAATGCTCTCAGGACTTCTTTCAGAGCTACAGCTAGTAGACAAACTACTTGCATCCTTGCCTCAGAGACTGTTTACAGTATTATCATGTGACTTTTCTCATCCTAATGCCATTGCCAGGACTTCTGGAAACAGAGTATGTGCAATTCAGATTCAGATGGGTCTGGACTCCTGGTTACCCACCAGCTGTTTCTGGCTTACCTGGGCTTGGGAATCATAAAGATACAAGGTTTGAACAGTTTCCCCTCCTCATGAGATCTGTGTAATCAGCATGTTTCCTTGAAACCACTGAACTCTCAACTTTTTATTTCTACTAAGCTATCTCTGATTACCTTCCCTTTCACTTTGGAATGGTTCCCCTCTGCATTTTTCCTCTACCTGAAGGAACTCCCAACTGAGTTCAATATACAATTCAAATGCAAATCAAGTCTTAACCACTTCTGGAGTTAAATTCTGAATACAAATCCTCCCCAGTTTCCTCATCTGTACAGTGCTTTTGACTATTAGCTCTATGGATTTAAAGGAGGAAGAGATCACTTATGTTTGGGAGACTCAAGAAAGACTATTCAGCAGGTAACCTTTGTGCAAAGCCTTGAAGGATATGTGATATTTCTTTAGGGCAAGATGGATGCCCTACATCTGTCTATACTCCTGGCATAGAAACCCTGAGCCTACCAGGGTAACCACCTAAGGGCCATGGGCAGAGATGAAACTATACATGTTAAAATTGATAATACTGCCCTGGCCAGTGTGGCTCACTTGGTTGTCCCATTCACTGAAAGATCCTATGCACCAGAAGGTCACAGGTTCAATTCCCAGTCAGGGCACATGCCCAGGTTGCAGGTTTGTCCCTGGTTGGGGCGCATGCAAGAGGCAACTGATCAATATTTCTCTCTCACGTTGATGTTTTTCTCTCTTCCTCTCCCTTCCTCTCTCTCTCTCCCAAAAAAAAAAAAAAAAAAAAAAAAAAAATTAAAATCATTATTTTAAAAAATTTACAATTCTTATTTATGATTGTACCTGGTCCATTCATTCAATAAATTTCTATTTCTATCTTTGATTTGAAGTAGGCAATACTTGTTGAAGTGCTATAATATTTATAATAGTCAAGAAAGCAAGCAAAGGATAGTTTCAGTAAGTGTTATTATGAAATAAATTTCTAAAGAGCATACTTATTATTAATGACAGGCAGTGTATTATGTACTTCTTGGCTTGTAATCCTGTCTATGGAGTACATGTTGTAAAGGAAGAAAAGTGGGTAATTATATTTCACATGAACATCAAGTTGAGTGTTCCTTCCTTGTAGCTTTGTAAAGTAGACTGTGGCAAGGTTGTCCTTAGTTAATGCCAGGAAAAGTGAAAAAATAAGTGTCATTTTCAAAATGTCTTTCAGATAAATAAGTAAAACCTGTTAAAATAGTTTTCAGTCATTGAACATGGGTCTGTTTCCCTTAAACTCTGTGGGTAAGTCTGAATTATTTTGTTATGTTGGTAATTTACTGTATAAAATCTTGCTTAGCATGAAATTACATATATAAAGTTTATATCAGAAAAATAAATATCAATATTAGTATTAATTAAGCCATTGTTGGTGGACTCAAATAAGTTTGCAATAAAAGAGTTTTGATTCTACCTATATTTGTCTTAACAAGGTGCAAACTTATGGCTCAAAAAATAAACAAGTTATTTTTTAATCTTGTTCTATAAATATAGAAGTTAATTTTTGTTTTGGATATCTGTTTTAATAATTGCCTCCAAGATATGTATCAGAAAAGTATAGTTGAGATGGTGTCATTAAGATTTGTGTATTCTGCATTAAAATGATCTAAGAGGTTCTAATATTCATTAGTATTTCATATCTTAATCTCATTTCCACGGAGTTTATTACAGGCCCTTGTTTGGGACTATAATTGTTGTGTGGATTTTAATAGTATCACAAACTATTGAAGTTTATATAACATTCTGGACTGTACTCATTGGAGAACATTTCTAGTATCTCTTGTGAATGTGACGTTTGAAATACTCTAACCTGATTTTGGAGATAGAGCCAGTCACTATTTGGAGGGGCCCTGGCACTTTCTCCTTCACCCACCCCTCACCTCAAATCCCATCCGGAGTCATCCCTCAGTTCCTTGGGAAACTTTGCCAGATGTATTAATGAGCTTTTGCTGTATACCAAAAATTCTCAATGGTTTGCAGTAGCTTTTGTAGCCTTAAGCATTTCTTCTTTTTTCATTAAAAATGAGAAACAGTTCTATTTTTCAAATTTGCAAGTCCCAGAATTTCTGAAATCACTCTTTACTCTTTCATCCCTGCCTGCAAACAGGCCAGTTGTTTTCTGAAAAACTAACAAAATCAGTAACCAGCTCATGATGGTAACAGTCTATCTTGAAATCTCATCACCAAAATCACACCTTATTACATATATTTTTGTCTTCAAATTATCACAGGTGACAATTTTACCAAATATCTGCTACTAGAGAGCATGGATCATCATTTTTCCAGTCTCCACTTTCTTGCTGCCTGCTATTCAGTTCCAAGACCAAGGACACATATTTTAAGTTTCCATCATAGCAGCACATTTTTTAGAATCAAATTCCTGTTAGTCAGCTTTTGCTTCACTAATGCTGTGTAATAAACCACCACCAAATCTCTGTGACCAATAAAACAAAGACATCTTGCCCATGGGCCTGAGGCTGCCCACAGTGGCTCTGCTGCAGCCTACAGGTGGTTCAGTTCTGCTTCTCTGCTCTCCTTCTCGCAGGGCCCAGGTGGATCGAGAGGGCTCTTTTTAGGACAGAGGGTGGGAATGCAAAAGGCCAGGCCAAATCACACAAGCACAATTTAAGCCTTTGCTCACATTTTTATTGGCCAAAGCCAGTCACACAGTCAGACCCAGTCAATGGAGGGAAAAGAGAGAGCAAATACTATAATCTACCTCACCTTAGAAAGGGCTGGTCTTCATTATTTGTCATTCGAATGGTGACTAAAATGTAAGGGGAGTAGGAAGGGAGGGGTGCAAATACGTTTAGGGAAATTTTTTTAAACTATGCTGCCACTCACAGTTCTAATCCCTCCTTTCATCTCCCTTAAGTAGATCCTTACCCTAAAAAAAACAGCAGGGCTGGATCTCGTCAATACCTAATTTCTGAGGTACTGGGGTGCGTCTATACCTAATTTCTGAGGGTGTGCAAAGACTTTTCAGCTTCACTCCTGAATGCTCCTCAGCATTACCTGTGGGCTGCTGTCTTGCTCTTCACCAGTTGTGTCCAGCTCCAGATATTTCTCCTTCTGGCCCTGCTACCTCCGCTGCAGATGAGAGTTCTCTTTCACCACTTTCTTCTAAGAGGGATGGATGATCCTCTTGCCTTTTTAGGGAATTTACTATGACCTGATAGGTCTCCAAGTTCTTTCCTAGCCTTGGGCAGAGTGAAGAACTGAAGGCAGAATTGCTTGGGCCTGGCCCTGACCATCCCACCTCATTCCTCAATATCAAAGCCAGATGTACTTTTGCACTGCTCCTTCTGGGGTACTGGACAGCAGGCCCTAGCCTCGCCTGTAGCCCCTACATTTTTCTCAGTGCCCTCCTCTCCTCATCCCTACCAGTTCCAGTTCCTTCAGGTCATCCTCACCTCTAGCTTGGCTTCCTGCACCAGCTTTCGAGCCTGGCTCTACCTCTAGCCTACCCACCTCCAAGCTACTCTACTTCAAATTGACCCAGAATGTTCTTTCTGGGGTGAAAATTTGATCTCATGGCTCTCTTGACTTAAATCTTTCAGTGTTGCCTCTAGTAAATAAAAGGTGGCTTTCTATGTGTGTCCCCTTTTGCCTCCAAATATTCAAATTCAGTAAAGGGTCAAGCTTCCCCTGCCCACTCAGACTCCCATACCTCCAGGCTCCTGGATGCAAGTGAAATGGCTGGACAGGCCTATGGGACAGCAGAGTAGCCTGAAAGCCCAAGTGCCCCACAAGATTGCCCTTGCCCCAGGCCAACGCACCCCTGCCTCACGCCAGACCTCCCCAAACGGAGAAATGACTACTGACAGAAAGGTAGTCAAACTACCAGACACATGATATTAGCTCCACAAATGGTGAACTCTAAAACCTGCAGCCACTAGATCCTGTCTCTGTGGTATGAGAAGTACGCAAAGAAAGAGAAGTCAGGAAATTGGAAATAATTCACTCCTTTAGGATTTCAGAAACTAGAAGAAAACAGTTCCTATCTGAGGCGGAGTGGATGACCTCCTGAGGTACCTTAAGATTCTCTGGCAGCACTACTGGGAGGTGGAAGACCTTCTTCAGCATTCCTTCCGTTTCTTGTATTGTTCATGAAGGGGTGCAGGGAGCTAGCATGGTCATCAAGCTGATAGCATTGTTAGGACAAGTCCATAAAAGCCATGTTTGCTCATAAACAGATCCCTCTTTCTGGAACAAAATTGCTGTTCTCTATTGAAATGATTTTAATCAAGGCTTTTTTTTGTTTTGTTTTGCTTTCAAGTAACAAATACACCAAGCTTACTCAAGCAAAACAGTGTGGTTCGTGTAAGGATTCTGGGATCTCTCATAAAACTCAAGGTCAGGAAAGTGTGCTGAGTGGCTGAAATGAGGAATTGGCTACAGTAGTAAAAATTGAAGCCAAATCTGAGCAGTATGTGTTGGTATTGAGATTT